TGGAAACATAATAATAAATTATTTAATGTGTTCTAAATAAAGGAAAGAAATGTGATTTTGGGTTCATTTGCTTCTGTACGGCACTACATGTTCCTTATGTAATGATGGTAAAGAAACAAAGCAAGCATTTCAGTGTCAATGCCTAACTGTTCTGTTTGGCACTTTATTGCATACCAGCATATTTTTCTACCTGTGGTTTAAATAAGGGTGCTATATAAAATAGTTTGATATATGCTACATGTACAATATATCTGTTTTTGCAAGTAGCCATGGTGATGTTGGATAACACTGTGTATTAGAGCTTATGTTTTTGAATGTGAAAGTCCAGCATGTCTTTAACTTGTAGAAGTTGCTTTATTGGACCCGACAGCAGTTTGAAATAGGGTTGTTTACAAACCACTATTTACAGGAACAGTGTCTTGAATCATTTAGTCATTTGTCAGCTAGAGACATACTTTAGTTGAAGCAAATAGCTACAAATCTGAAAACAATTTGAAATTATTACTCTTAACTGGGAAAGCAGTAATTTGGTGGTGTAACATGCTTTTAGATATGCTGTCAACAAACTAGGTCAGACTAGATGATCGTAATGGGTCCCTTCTGGCCTTAAAAATCTGTGAATGTGGCTGTAGGGCCCAAATTTAAAATATTTTTTGTGGGGAGAAAAGTGGGTTAAGAATACAGAGAATGACAAGTATTATGCTGAAGATGGACCTTGCTCTAAATACCCAAGTAGGTTGTAAAATCAATGTCTGGGAAAACCTGGATATATAACTGGTGTTATCAACATAGTAGGAAGGTGTGTAACACTTAGGATATGTGAGAGTGAGAAAAGATAACAGGAGCAGACTATGAGGGGATCAAAGGAGGGATAGTGGGGATAGAAGCCACATAACTAATCAAATAATGACAAACTATTAAGGTTGCAGAGTCAAACTGTGTGAACTCAAACCCCTTGTACAGTCTTTCATTACCTGATTGTGTTACTTTTTTCATGGGAATTTGCGTCATTTAGTACATAGAAGGAAAGTGTTTTGGGGATGAATCAAAGCAATGCACTTAGAGGCTATGGTCTGTTTGCAGAAGTTGTAATACATGTGAGGAATGAGGCAGAAAGCGAAGGATGAACTTAAGGTTTCGGCAGTTAAATGTTGCCGAGGAAAACAGGATTGTATCCCTGTCTGGCACAGAAGTTCTTGTGGGCTTCTGAGGAAATGGCTAAAGCCAGTCTTTCACAATTGACTGTTAATTTCATGTTCCTCATTTTTGATTGCCCAGGATATGAGATTTGTGCTATGCAGAAGTATGAAGCACTCACAAATATGCTGAAGGCAATATGAGTCAATACTGTGACCATGTAAACTGGTACAAGATGCTGTGTTCTCTCAAAAAAAAAAAAAAAAGTCCTAGATGTCTCAGATGGAAGTCCTGGAATTAGTAGGTTGGTGGGGAGGGGGGGTTGTCATTGATTTTTCTAGGCCTCAGTTTCCCCATCTGTTAAACAAGTATAATAATTTTTTCTTCCCTCAAAGGGAAGTTGAAAGTCATTGTGAATTGCTTTGATTTTTCAGTGAGGAGGGAAAGGATTTTCCAGATGTCAAAATAGCTTTCCTGTCCCAAGCCAGGGCAAACTCAATGTTGCATATCAAAAATCTAACCATTTGAAGCACTTAAAGACTTAACTGGAGGAAAAAAATGGTCAAAAGTAACCCTTTCCCATGAATAGTTCTGGTCACAACAAATGGCCATTTTCTGATGGAAAAAATTGTTTTGTCAAAAAATTCCCAGCCGAATATAGTATTAAGAACTGTAGGAAAAACCCTCAAGGAAAGAAATATATCTATAAGCAGAGCTGCTTCCACTGGTGTGCAGCAAGGTAAGCACTGACCACATTTTGAACAATAAAGATAAAATAACAAACGAATAAAAAATATAGCTGAGCTAAAAATGATTCCTGAAGTAAAGGAAATGATTCCAGTTTGACTTCATTTTGGAAGTTATGAGGACACCATAGAAAATAACCTCAGTCATGAGTTGATTCACTAGTCTGTAGTTGAGGGGTTGTTTTTATTTCCAAAGAATACATTTTGACAGAGTCGGTAGTGAAGGCATGTGGAAAGAGGAGCTCAGGGAAATGAATACAGAGAAGACCTAGAATCTCTGCCCATGAGTTGGTGGTCGGTGGTGGCCCAGTGTTCTGTAGTTCGGCGACTTGCATTCACCTCACAAAGGTCCCCAGTTCAAAACTGGGCAGGAACAGACCCCTGCTTGGTGCCCTCACTCCAGCCTAGTTTTCCCTTGGGCAGGAAGGACTTTTATCTTGTCCACAAAAAAAGACAAAGCTGACCAGTGCAACTGTATGACATGGCTTCATTTCCCTGTAGAGTTTGGGATGCCAGACAGATTCTCTTCCTGCCTCCATACAAGCAGGGGCATGTGTTTACTGCAGCACAAATTTTGCTGCTACATTGTGCTGAAATGCACGCCCCTACTCTTGCAGTTTGCAGCAGGACACATTGTCCCACTGCATTGTGCTGCAGGGGGGACTGGTTGGGGCACAGAGTGTAGGGGACCCTGTGCCCCAGCCAGCCAACTCCCTGGCTGGCTGGGGTGCAGGGTGCCTCAAGATCGGGGAGGAGACAGCCCTGGGCAGGCTGCTCCCCTGTCTCAGTGTGTCTCAGCACAAGGGCTCCTCTATGGAGCCCCTGCACTGAGGTCCATGAAGTCTCTGTCTCAAGGCACCCTGTACCCCAGCTAGCCATGGAGCATCTGGCTGGGGACAGTGTGCCTCAAGACAGGGGAGCAGGCAGCCCAGCAACCAGCCCAGGGCTGTCTGCTCCCCCATCTTGAGGCACCTTGCACCCCAGCCAGCTGGGGAGTGGCTGGCTGGGGCTCAGGGTACATCAGCACAGGGACCCCATGTGCCGTAGCTCAGGGGCTCTGCATTGGAGCCTTCACACTGAAGCCTGTGGAGAGAAGGGAGCAGCCAGCCAAGGGCTGCCTGCTCTCCCATCTCCACATGCTGCTTCTTGGCTGGCTGGGGCACAGGGTGCCTCAGTGTCGGGGCTCCACATCTCTGGTCTGCATGTTTGTCCCAGCACACAGCACTTTGGCATGCTTTGCACTGCTTTTTCTCAGGGATGTTTTTTTTTTTTCTTCCTACTGGGAATTTTGCCCCACTACCGCAAATTAGCGCGGGGCACAATTTAACATGCAGCGTGTGCAGTTTGTGGTGCCACAATCCACATGTAGCTGCACATCTGGATCTGGCCCCTGAAGTCATGGAGGGGGAGGAACAAGGAGCACAGCCTCCTGAGATCATGGAGGACAGAGGCATGCCCTGTGGCACTGCCCAGAACTGGACAGGGGTTACATGTGGCACCAGTAATCATCATGCTGCTGAAAAGTTTCTGTTTTAAAGACCTAATATTTCTTCCACAAAAAGCACTTAAATGCTTATATACTTGCTTTTTTGCAGGGTTACAAGGGCATATTTCTTGCTAAAAATGTGAATGTCCAAGACCTAAGATTGTGTGGACAACCTCAGTGCTGACACTTCCTTAATTGAGCACTTTTAATGTTCTGACATGTAGGATGTGTGCATCTGGCAGAGAGAGAGAATTTCACTGTGTGGAGCTGTGATTCATCGGCACAGTTTGGAACTGAAACATATGAGTGGATTCTAGAGTTACTTTGATGACAGCAGAGAAATGGTGAAACTCAGGAGTCCTGGCTCCAGTGGTTCCAGTCCAGTGGTGCTCAAAGTACGCCCTGCAGAGCTGTCATCCAGCCTGTGGGGCTTCTCACAGGTCTGGAAATTTGGCGGTGGGGGAGTGGTAGTAGCTTTAATTGCTGCAGCTCTGCAACACCTGCAAACATTAATGTTGCTACCACTCCCTCACTGCTAAACTTTTGGACACATAGGGAGTCCCACGGGTTGTATGGCATGGCCCTGCACAGGAGAGGGGGACAGCACACAGCTGTGGCCCTGGGGAATCAGTTTTTCAATAATCTTGTAAACCTATTGTACCATTTTCAGTTTTTGTATATTTCCTGGTACATTTTAAATGAAAATGCGTTCATCTTTGATTCTATAATCGCTTCACGACATAAGTCAACACAAATGGCTAGTCCATGTAGTGTAACAGGGTGTCTGCCTTCTGTAAAGTTACTTATGCACTTCAGTGTTTGCCAAACACATTATTTAAGTTCTTTCACATTTCTCTAAAAATATATTTTGGGTCAGAAGTGATAGGCATACATTTTCTTTGCAGTGAAGACCTTGCTTAGGATCAGTTTATTGAATAAGGCAGTGAGCAGGTGTTACTATCTACAGATTTCTGAAGTGTGTGAGAGTCTGTGTACTTGTGTGTTTGTAACCACATTTTCACTATTTCTTTGTTTATAGTTAATCTGTAGTATGTTGTATTAGAATGACTGTGTGCATTTTTCATAGAGGTGGTTTTAGTAAGCTCTGGCATACACTGACAAGTAACTGATACTGCATACTCGCAATCTAAGGGTATTGGGTAAATTGTCTGTTTTTAATCATATATAGTATTATATGTGTTGAAAATTTGTGTGGCTACGTAACCTGACTTCTAGGATCTATATACGTAAAGGCAGTGTGAGAAAATGGCTTAAAAACAAGTAGCATTTCCTGACTTCTGAATGCTTAACTATGTAACCTCATTTTTTTTTATTATTTTGTAATATGTGAACTTTCTAAGGCACAGATCAACTTTCAACAGCTTATAACTTTATCATTCTGAAAGACGGTTTAAACATGTTTCCCACATAGCAGCAATATGTTTAGTTTAAATTATTTTTTTTTAAACCAGTGCTTTCTTATCTCCCCTTCCTCCCCACCCCAAAAGTATGCAAGAACCATGTGATGCTGTATGGGCCTGTTAAGGAAAAAATATATACATACTTTTAATGGGGGAGAGATTTTCTTCCCCTCTGTTTTAGGTTTATCAGCATTTTTATTTGTCCTGCAGGGGTTGTTCAGAACTGTGCCGAATCCCCATGGTAGAGTATAAACTTGACAGCGAAGGCACCCCATGTGAGTATAAAACCCCCTTCAGGAGGAATACCACTTGGCATCGGGTGCCGACTCCTGCTGGGCAGCCTCTCTCTCGTGCCTCTCCAATCCTAGGAACATCTGACAGACTGCAATGCCAGCAGCTTCTCCAGCAGGCTCAGACAGCCATTCCTCGCAGCACTTCCTTTGATAGAAAACTGCCAGATGGTGCTAGGTAATACATCCACCCTTTAATTCCAGTCATTTTCTTAAATCCCTTACTTAAAAACCTCCGTTTCTAGCTTTGGTATGAAGTTACTTTTTAAGGTCCTCAGCAGGTTTTCATACATTGTTTTTTGGGGGGGTTAACAGTCATTTGCATTTTAAGATTAGGCTCCCAAGTGATCACCCATGGCTTTATTCTGGCAGAAACAAGTGATGTTCAGTGTTAGTAATGACAGTGAAAAGCACGTGTAGTATTCATGACTCTACCCAGGAGCATAAACAACCATCCCCCTCAGTCTCTTATTAATTGAAACAGAGACTGACTGACTACTACAACTCTAAAACAAGGTACATGCAAGGACATTATGGAAACCTCTTTAAATAAATAACACGCCTAAAGAGAACAAATCCATCCGTCACAAAATGAGTGATTTAATCTCATCATTGCATTATGGTGCAATTTCAGAAGGTTCTGTTACTCATTACCAGGCTTTATACTTTTGTTAAACAAAGTTAAACAAAGCAAAACTTGTGATTTGAAAATATATAATCTTTTAAAATATGGGGAATTATTTTTTAAGTTAAAACAATGCCGATTTAATCATACTTTCTGAAAAGAGACAAAAAAAAAAAAAAAAACAGCAGCTTGGGATTTAAATGCATTTGACCCTTAAATTAGTAATAACTAAATGTTTCTTGAACAGCAGTCTTCCAATTAATTTCTTCTTTATTGTTTGTAATTATATCTCCCTTATGCCCTTTCCCCCTAAGCATTGTAGTTCCTAATCTCCAGGCAAAACAGATTGCAGGACTGAAAGCTCAAATTAGTATAAAAATCTACAATGTGTTTTTTACGTTTTCAGTTCTGAGAAATTCCACTGAAAATCATAAAGTTTTTGTAGCAGCTACATCAATTTTCCATTTTTAAGAATAAATAGTCTTTCTTCTGTGTTTTTAAATGATACAAAATACACCATTAGTAATAGAAATACACATTTGAACACTTGTGCTTAAGAATTCATGTTGTGGGGAAGGAAGGTTCAAAGTTAATAGTTCACATATTTTACATCTTGTGTCAAAAAAAGCATTTCTGTAACCACACTTAATATTAGATGACTTAAACTCTCCCTGCTGACTCATTCTTGTAATCTTTGTTAAAGTCCAATGTAAATAGGGCAGTTGTATTGAATAACTGTAATTTTGTGAATCTGTGAAGCTCTGTTAGGATACAGTACTTAATTATTTTATTAAACCTTCATTAATGCTGTTCGTTTCCACAGCACTTTACCAGCCAAAGCCTCACTCCTGGAAACATATGTTCAAAACTTGAAGTGAAGCACATACAAACCTGTTTGTAGGACTGAGGCCTCAAATACCATAAGCCATTCCCTGTCCTGAAGAGCTTACAGTGTAATTTAAATAGGACAAGCCCATTAAAGATGAGACAGTGCAGGAGTTCAGATGTGACAATATGTGAAGTTTTAATAATGAGAAAAAGGGAAAATGGTTGAGGAGATGTGTTTTTAAGAGGGATTTAGAGGAGAGGGATAGTATCTAATGGATGAGGGTTTTGTAGAGTGGCAAGGTAGAAGGCTTGAAGTGGACAAATGGAATAAAGCAAATGATCTGGGCTTAGTTTAGGGTCCTGGAGTCTGGCACAAAAGAAGGGTAAGTAGTATTCTTAGATAGTCTTGTGGGAAAAGATAAAATATGTAAGTAGTCAGATCAGGGAACTGGAGGAGAGATTTCAGGAGGCCTGAAACAAATGCAGTGTTGTTTCAGACAGACTGGGAAGAAGTGTGGGCTGGGAAAGTCATTGAGATGGGGCAGGAAGGGTACAGCAAACAACCTAGCACCTAATAAAATAGGTTGTTGCCTACAAAAGCTCATGCTTCTCTGAACTAGTCAGTCTCTGAGGTGTGCCACCCTGACCTACCTTCTGTCTTCCTTAAACGATCTTAACTAGCTCACTTTGTCAGCAAGTAACCCGAGTGATGCCTACGTTTCAAATGAAGATGGTAGCACTAGGGATGAGTAAGAAAGGGTTGAATTTCACAAATTAAAAAGAAGGAACAGGAGTTAGAAGGTAGATACGAAGGGAGAAGAAAGAGATGAAAGTCAAGATATTGGGCCTGAGGGAGAGAGAAATGCAAGATAGTGGAGTTATAAATGGACACACAGAACAGAGGTGAAAAGTAAAGAATTAAGGAAGAATTTGGAGGCTATATTTCAGATGGCAGCAAATCCAGGAATTGTTGATAAAGCAGTTAAGTGAGAGACCCCAGTCTTGCATACACACACCTATAGAAAATGCCCTATGAAAAATCCTTCAGTGTTATCCAATTAATGTATATGAAGGCTGACCTAATTCTTAGTTGGCTGAAGGTACTGGTATTCTTCATTGCAGACTAGTTGAAGCCCTCGACATTTACTGAATATCCATAAGAATTGTTAACTGTTATTTCTAGTTAGAGGAGCTTTTGTTTTTTCACGGGAGTTTCCCATGCACAAGATGGAAGCCTCCTGTTAGCTCTGCTGTTTCATGCAAGTAGTCCTGTTTGCTCAGAAGTAGAGCAAAGCATAAGGAGAGTGCAATTTAGCCATTCATTTAGTTTCTCCTCCTTGTTTCTGTTTATCCCTTACAAATGTAAATATCCTGTCAATAATAAAATGGGGAATATGAGTGTTGTAAAATTCTGGCTGTGAATTATCAACAACTAATTAATAGTTCTTAATTATTAATAATTCAGGTTTTTAAATTAGTTAACTAATTTTTAAAAACTGTAAAGTCCTATTAGGACTATATTTAAGTATTCACACTACAATCAGTCTTTGGCCATGTTCATTGTAAAAATGAATTTATTTGTAAAAGAAATAAATGACAGGCCAGTTCAAGATGTTGGAACTCCACAAATATCTCAGTGCACTGTTAATGATTCCAATCAACATTACAGAAGTTCACCGAGCAACCAGTCATCCTCCAGTGACCCAGGACCTAGCGGGAGTAGCCAGTGGAGGCAGCAAGTGGGATATGACGGGTACTGGTGATTTTCTATCTTGTTGCAGCTCCTGTTGATAACACTTTTATGACAGAAGATGTATAAAAGATAAATGTCCAATAGCCCTATTTGCTGTGTGGACATAGTCTGTTAGTGGAGGGCCAGGACCATATTCTTTTCTCAGAAACTTCATCATACCATATTTGCTTGCATACCACATGTACCTTTCCCCCAAAAATTAACCTTTCAAAATTGAGACGTGTATGAAACAGAGAAACTAATTTTCTGCCCAGAATAGCAGCATTGGCATCCCTATTCAAGCAGTACTGCTGGAGTTGATTAACTTCATGGTTCATTATTATCCTTTTGATTCTTGGTAATTGCTCTTAATTCAACAGGTGTTAATGACCCACTGTCCTTTTAATACTTTTGATGTCCTACTAATCAAACTATCCATGCTTTTTCAGTTTGGCTGCAGAATTTGCAATTTAGCTTCTCCTGGTCTCTCTCCTCCTATTTTAGTTCTTTCCAAAATCCTAGATCCATGCATGGAGTCCAGTTTTCAGCAGCAGCTGCAGTTTCAGCAATGATGCTAAGAGCAGCTGACAGTTCATCTTTGAAAGGGTTAAAACTGTTGCCAGAAAGAGGGGGTGAATGAGCTGAAGATTAGGCTCTGTCCTTCCTCTATGCATCCATAACTCTAGGAAAAAAAAATCTCTTCATTCTGCCTTCCCAGAAATAAGGTGTGTGTCTTATTGGTGGCATGTGGTATGTGAGAAAATACAGTATATCTATTGTGTTACTGCTGACCATACTAGTTAATTTGTTAGGGCTCAATGGTTACTTCACAATCCGTTCTAAATAAAGCTTGCTGCTTAGCTTCACTGCCCTGGGAATAGTATGGGAACCAGACTGTGACTTCTGTTGTAATCTGGTTCCTGCTTCTCCTTTGCTTTGGTGGAGGAATAACTGGTGTCATCTCTTTGCTATTTTAAATCAGTTTTCCCTGTTCTCCTCCTGTATCCACTCTGGATCCACTTGCCTATGGAGGGGAATAGCACATCAGCAGACCTGATCTCTTCCCCCCGTGCAGGTGCTTTCAAGATGGATTGTCCTTTCACACTGATATAATGGAACTCATTACATCCCCTGCTACTTCCCTGCCCAGCAGAATTTACAATTTAGTTATGGATGGAAAGGAACCCTATCCTGAAATATTGTGGATGTTGAGTTCCACCAGAAGGTTAAGAAATGAAGATTTGCCAGATATTTTCTGTATGAAATTTGTTTTTCATTACTGAAAATGTAGCTCTTGAGTTTCATGAATCTAGTGTTTGGTAACACTTGCTGTTAAATACAGAGATACGTAAATACCAAAGCTACTTGATTTAAGAACACTTCAAATATGCCACTTCTAGTTGATGAAGCTATTTTCAATGTTCAGTTTTCATCACAAAACATCATCTTGCCTTCTTATCTGTCAGCACTATATTGCCTTGACATATTTGTTTGTGTGAAATATCCCATGTAGCAGATATTAGGGCTGTGCAAAGCTTCAGTTCCTGATTCAAGTCAGCTCGATTCAGTGACCTTCTGAATTGATTCAGAGAGATTTGGAAAGATTTGTCGATTTGGATCTAGACACAGCTTTAAATGTTTTTTCTACATACCTCAAGGTAGCAGGTGGCTCATGAATGCTATGATGGTGGGGCAGATGGAGTGTCCCACACGAGCATGGGAGGCTCCCCAGCGCACTCAGCAGCAGACCCGAAAGTAGGCCAGAAGCATTTCTGGTCCACTTCCGGGTCCACCGGGGAGTGTGCAGGTGGCTCCCCCACACCCTCCCAGCTCAGCGACTGGTGCCTCCTGGGTCTGGGGGGGCGCCTGGGGCCCCCCCGCAGCAGATTGCTGAGCTGGGGGGACATGGGGGGGGGGGGCCCTCCAGCATGCTCGGCAACGGACCCAGAAGTGGACCGGAAGTGCTTCCAGTCCACTTCACGGTTCACCACCGTGCATGCGAGGGGCCCTTCTGCACTCCTGTGGGACACTCCATTCATCCCAGCATCACAGCTTTCACGAGCCGTGCCTGATACCTCGAGGTATGTAGAAAAAACATTTAAAGCTGTGTCTATGGCCAAATCACTGATTCTCTGAATCAGCATCAAATCTTAAGATTTGACTTTGGCCAAATTGAATCAGAGACAGTGATTCGAATCAACGAATCAAATCACTGTCCCCAATTTGGGCCAAATCCGAATCAAATACGGCCCATTTCGCACACTCCTAGCAGATATGCATGCAGTTTTGGAGTCTGCTTGAGGAGTTGTAGACTATTCATTGAAATCTCTGACAACTGGATAGATGTTAAAATTTTTAACGTTATAACAAATTTCAGTGGGAGAAAAGCACATGAAAACTTGTCTAGTCATTTCAGATTAGTAATTACTGTTAGTAGCATACTGTTTGAATACATTTCTTTGGAAGAGAATTTTAATTTCTGCAGGTTTAGGAGTTGTTCCTGGAAATGTAGAGTTTGAGTGGGTGGAAGAGGATTTCAAGAAGCAGATATAACACTGAACTATATGAGGCATGTGTTTTAATTATGAGGGAAATTGGCAGAGATTTGAAGCAATAGATACAAAATATATATACATCTTTCATGAAAAGAATCTTGTACTTGCTCATGAAATCCAAATATTTTTGCATACAGATATAGGAATTAGTCCATGCAGTAGTTAATCATGCATTTTCCTGATTTATCAATTGCATGGCTTTGAATATTTGGCACCAAAACAATACATATTTTTTTAATTGTGCTTTTAGTTATGTTTACAATTAATCCTTAGCAGTACAATGGCAAGAAGACTAGGCATAAATGTTTTTACCTGGAATTTGGCAACATATTTGCTTGTTTGGTAATGATGAATGCTTACGGTAATGGCCTGCCAACATTTTGCCTTGGAGAATAAAGAGCAAATAATACTGTTTCTCATGGCATAGTCAGTTTTCTGATTAAAGAAACAGTTTGATTCTCCTTATGTTACAAGGTGCCAGTCCCCTTTGCTCCATGAACATCAAGGTTCGGGTCCACTGGAATGTGAAGGAACTCGAGAACGAGAGGAAGCTTTGGAAGGAACCAGGCATGCTGGTAATGATGAATATAATGAATTAAAAAAACCCCAAAACTTCCTAGAATTTGCATATAAAATTAACTACCACATCTGCTAATACTTCTATTTTCCATTTTTATATAGTGTCTTTCATCTGAAGGGACCCTAAAAGCATTTTACGTAATATATGAATGCAGATCCCATTTAAATGCAGGTATCCCTGAATTGGAGAGTAGATACTGAAATTTCCACTGAAAGAGAATTTTGTCAATGCACGCATGTTTAAATATTCTACTGAAGTTTTTTTAAAGTACAATTAAGATAAATACCACCTTGATTCTGAGTACCTTATTCAAAACCCAGAATAAACTGTGTAGAATTCAATTTAATAATGCTGAAAGAGTCAAAGACTTAAGAAACCCTGCAACATTATGAGCCTATAATTCCAAATAGCTGACTGGCTTCAAACCTAATGCTTAAAGAATTGCATTATGTGCTTTTCTTTCCTTTGTGCACAGTATATTCAACTTTTCACCAGAAATTAAAACATAATTTTTTGTGGCAGAAACCAAGTGGCATGCACCATCAACCAAAGTCTTGAGTTCCTACAAAGACCGAGCTTTACAAAAAGAAGGCACAGGAAAAGACTCTCCAAGCAAACTTTCACACGTAAGTCTCACCTTCATGCCAATCTGCCTACAATAGAAATGTGGCCCTGAAAAAACAACTGTAGGCACCTTAAATGATTAATATACCTTCTATTCATTTACAAATACAGTTGTGGTGCTGAACGTTCTGGCCCCGTGGGTCAGATGGGTGACATAGGGCCAGTCTGTAGTGTAGATCCTGCAGGTACGGTTGGCACAGAGCTCACTACAATCCTTGTGCACCAGCCAAGCCCTGCAAGCCAGATCCAGCTGTGCAGTAACCCACACATGCTGGTGCATTGTAGCCCATGGAGCCTTGTTATACAGCCCACAGGGCTCCCCACAGGCCTGGAAATTTGGCAATGGGGGAGTGTTGCTGGCATTAAGCGCTGCAACTCTGGAAGCCACAGTGATTTGCTGCCACTGCTCCCCTAATGTGAAATTTACAGACTTGTGGGTTGGAAGTTGGGCTCCACTGAAATGTAACATGCATTTTCAGAAGTATTTTATAGCTGTGCAAGAATTTGATGGACTTGGAACCTTCACCCTGTGCCCTCAGAGTAAGTGCATTGGAGCACAGCACTGAAGAGAGCTCTTAGTTCATGTAAATACCACTGTACTGTCTGTTTAGAGCTTCATTTACATTGGCTTGCTTAGTCTTAGGAGCATGTCCCATAGTAGACAAATTAAATTCATGCATACATACCATTTCTTGCCATGTGTGGGTTACTCATTTACTATAATTATCAGTAATCATTTTCTTGTTATTTAGGCAAAAGTTCTACCTTTGAAGAATGTATTTAGGCAAAAGTTTTACCTTTGAAGAATGTATCTAGTTAAATGTTTCTGTTATCTTTGTGCCTTTTAACTGTGGGGTGAGAAACTGATGACCTGACTATTTATTTATTTATTTGCCTAAAATGCCTGCCAGATGGATTAAATGGTGTGCACAGAGAATTGTGAAGTATAAGAACTACAAATTAGGCTGCTTAGCAATACTGTGCTAACCTCATTAGGATTAGAAGTTAAGCATAATGAACAGATTAATTTCCCAAGTCTGCTAAAAATGCTGCGCCTGTCTCAGGAAAATATACAGGGGAGTTAAAGTTATGAATCAGATTGTTCACTAGTTTGGACACTGTTTAAACAAGCTACTATGTCTTAAGGTGTAGAGAAAGGAAAAAAGAGCTGCTGAAGTGCATTTTTTTTTTCCGTATCGTTCCTTTAAGTGTTACTAGATGTAGTAGCAATTTCATGGTACTAATAATCTGCACAATCTCATTTCATTCAGTTTATGGGCCAAATTCACACTTGACGTGAGTCAGCCTACTTATACTTGTTAAGAATCTGGCCAACAGTGTTTGGAAAAAAAAGATCCTCTAAATACTATTGTAGAAAATGCTATTGTGTATAGTGCAGTTGGGACCTGTTAGTAGCAGCACTTTGGTGCCTGTCATTCTGTGTTGTTCCTGAGTGGCTTTTGCTATTATAGGGAGTATCATCAGAATGTTCCCAGGGGAAAATCTTGCTGATGAAAGGTTGCTGCTCCGGGCAGGTGGTAGAGCAAGTGAGCATTCACTGTACTATAAATTCCTGTACGTAATAGAAGCAGTACTTCCCAATAAATTCAGCTAAGCACAGGTTGAACAGAAGTTTGAGGTTTGAATAGATATGTATAATAAATAACATTAAACACAATATCAGAGACCCTAATTTTCTCATTTCAGTCGCATCTTATGACTTGGTTATACATATCTGAATGTAGGACATCACTTGGTCTTTCAGTTACTCGAGTGATCAGTTAACTCAAAAGGTCTATCCAAACCACAGTTCCTAGTATTATCCTGTGCTGCAGATGAATACCACACAAAAAAATTCTGAAGTTTTTAGGAACAGATGTTGTTATTTAAGATTCAGTGCATAACCATATCAGCATTTTGCTCTGTTGTTCTCCTGAGCTCTTTGAATCCCTAGTAGTCTTAGTGATTTTTCTCTGTTTTGATTGACTCTTCTCTTTCAAGAGGGATAAGATACTGCTGACTGTTTACCACAGATTATCTGATATACTGAAACGTCCTGTTTGCAGTTATTTGTGTGCCTTTGTACTTGCATGCTTCATGACATCATTTTTAGAGATTTAAAGGCCATGTTGAGGTTCTCTGCAAATAATGGCTGTGGCACAGGGAAATAAACTAAGGCCCCAGCTACCCATTACATATATTACAGAATTGCCTGGTTAATCGCACAATAAATTTAGACTGGCCACAAGTGCAAGGTAATTATCACACCATAAGAATCATTGTCCAGCTATGAAAAGAGCCTACTAGCTACAAAGTTAGTGCTTGAAAATGTCTAACAATGTGATACCTGATTTGCATCTCGCTTTTAATATGAACATGTAGCAGGACCCTTTCATGATCTTGAGCAGTGGCCAAGATGTACTCCATACAGTTCAAGAGGCTTGGATGCATAAGTACTGTTTGCATGTTCACTACCCTACCCCCATCCTCTCCAGGTTCCAGCACTAGGCACGTATCTTAGCATAGACTTACAGCAGCATGAAGGACTCCTGATCGAGTCTTGTATCAATATCACCGTTTTGTAAGTCATCTTTACTTCTTGGGGACTCCCTTCCTAATCATTTCCTTGTTCTTTGATTCTACATTGACTCTACAGGCCAAACTAAAGCACCCATCCCTAAACAAATCCTAGTTTATGCCCCCCCCCCCCCCCCCCCAAATATCACCCTTGTTGTCCCCCCCCCCCCCCCTCCCCAAATATTGCTTCACATTTTCCAGCAGTCTAATTTCTGTTGTGATTTAAGGGGGGGAGGTAATCTTCCAAAGATTCAAGATGATTTTAAGCCATTTCTTTTTGTAGAAACTTCTGAAACAGGTGCTGAGAATCAATCATTCAGTGTGTGTCATAAAAGTAGCATTTCTGAAAAAACTGCCTCTTCCTACAGACTGGCATATGAGAAATGTCTATCTTTATCTACATCTCCTGGTAGGTAGATCTAATTAAAAGAGCTAGTCTTCCCTATCACTTCCCTTCTTACTGGTGGAGCTCCATCTGTCCTCATTTTGGCTGCCTTTTCAACATTGGTAAATAAATCTAGTTCTATGTAAAAACTCCATTAAAAGTCTGTTTAAACAACTAACTGTATGACACAGTTCTTCCAGTTCACTAGACATACTCATTTTGTTACATATGGTACACACACATAGCACTTGGCTTCATTTCAAGTAGTCGCACATGTTGGACCTAATCCAATAAACTGGATATTTTGCCCACGCTGAGAGAAGACCAAGAACAATTCACTCCTCATGGTTCTCCAGACCCACATGCTTCTCCTCTACCGGCTTTTTAGAATATTGATTTTAACTATCCGCAAACGTTAATCTAGGTGTACAAAGAAGTTATAATCAAGACGTTTTAAAAGGAATGTACAGTTTGCCAAACAAGATCAGACCAATGGTCTAGCAGTGGCTTCTGCCTAGTATTTGGAAGAGAAGAATAAAGCTACCTAGTCAGTTATACAGTTCACATCAAAAATAAATAGCGTATTTAGCTTCTTTCTACGTAATGTTTGTATTAAACTGTGTTGCAACAAGAATTAAATTTTGGCCAAATGACATTTGAAATACTAAGAATTAAGTGAATTTATATAGAAGAAATATTTTCTTTTTAAACTTTTTGTTTCTTTTAAGATTGGAGACAAAAATTGTTCCAGTCATTCCAGCAGCAATACCCTGTCCAGTAATACATCCAGCAATAGTGATGAGAAGCACTTTGGCTCCGGAGACCTTATGGACCCTGAATTGCTTGGATTAACGTATATTAAGGGGGCTTCTACTGACAGTGGAATTGATACAGCTCCCTGTATGTCAGCTCCTCTTATGACTCCTTTACACCTTGCTGGCAGCAGGTCTGGGGTCCATAGTCGGACTGAGCAGTGGACTGAATCATCTGAAACTCCTGGGCCAGATGATGAGGCTGCTAAAATCTATGCTGTTCATAGCTATGCCTCTGTCATTTCCAGCAGTCATACGGCTGAAGGCAGTATTGGAGACCTCAGTGAAATATCCTCTCATTCCAGGTATGTGGTTCTGCACAAGTTATGTGATTAAATTGTCGATTGGGGGAAGTGGCTTTTGTTTGTTGCATTTTTCTTTCCTTGAAAAGATACTTGTTAAGTTTAATTTTATATTTTCAAAACATGCGAGGAAGCTAAGAGAGATCTTCCTCCCCCTCTGGGCATCTCTTGCAGAAAATCATCAATATAGGGTCCATGTGGCAATGATTGTGGGGAGCTATTTAAAAATCTAATCCAAATATCTTTTAATTTGGTATAAATAATATATTGAAGCACATTTAGCATCTTTTGGAGAACACACAGTATTCATGCTGTTATGTCATCCCTATTGAAACTAATGGGCAACTGTAGAAAGCATAGTAATCTAGGCAATGCTCATTTCCAGTGTGAAATGAAGGTGCTTCTTATAGCACCCAGCTAGAACAGACAAATGTTTAGGATGGCTAGTTAGTTGGATAATAGCCGTATTGGTTTTGAAATAGTGTTTCAGGTTTTTAGGTAATAAAGTGTTGAGCCTTTGGTTCAGTTAAGGCCAGTGTGGGCAGCAGTGTCAGAGCTGCATCAGAGGATTTTTTTTTTTAGAAAGAAGACACCCTCCAGTGTAGCCAAAATAAAATGATACTGTCATACTGGTATAATGAAAGATGTATAGTTCAAGTGTGTTCATTACATCCTAAATGGAGATAAAGCAAGCATCTTTGGTAATTGGAGGTCTTCCTTTTTATTGTAGTTCTAGGTGAGGGCACATGGTAGAGTCTCCTTCCTCCTACTTGACAGGAAATAGTCATTCAATTTTTTCCAGTGTTATGTCCACAAGGAAAATATTTATAGTCATACTGGTATAATTAAACTACTATAATTAAACTGCTCCCTGTGTAGACACATTTATGCTAGAAAAAAGATGACATTTCTATTATTTTGATTGAACTGCTTCCAAATTAACCTAAAATGAACTTGGTGAACCAGGAGTTATGCTAGTGTAACTACAGCAGTTAAAATTCACCTCTTAAGGTTTCATCACTAATATTTTTTTAGGGAGGCAAGCCCCAACTCCTTTCAAAGTCTCACACCCCAATTCAGATATATCTTTAAAACCGCAAAATCCTTGGATGCTCAGGCTCTCAAGGAGACCACACTTATCAATGAATCATGGTTGTGGTTACTAAAATGGCTCTTTTGAGTGGTTTTGAGATTCATTTGAATTGAATCAGCCCAGGATAGATTTTTTTTTTTTTGGACCAGTAGGTTGAATGCCAGCTAATCATCACCATTTCTTACCAAGTGTTTGAAGGCTTCCCATAACTTTGCTGAGATGATCAGTCCGTGCATTGTTTGCGAGGCCTGACAAGGTCACGGCACAGAGGCAAGACTGCTTGTCCACAAGTGTTGATTATAACTCCCTGTGTAGGGAGTTAATAAAGTTTGTAGATAAAGTACCCATAGAATTAAGTAGATAAAGTATTTATTATTTATATATTATGTGGTACATTTTTAAATATTGGAATACATACAGTCTTCCTTCACTGCAGAAGAAAACTGAATTAGTAATCATCAACACAGTGTATTTACATTAATACTGTTGCATTTTTCATGTCAGTGCTTCCATTATTTCAAGTAATAGAAACAATGGTAACCATTTCCCCCCACCAAAAAAAAAGTTAGTGTGCCATTCCTCAGTCTGATTAACTTTTTTCCCATTAACGCTTGGTGTGCATACCTCTTTTGTACAATACAACTGACAACACACAGAGTTAAGGCTATAGCAATGAGATTGACTTATATTGGAAACTTCTCTGCCTGTTACTTACACATCGTGAAGCTGCATTGCCTACTGTGTTCCTTAAATGAAATTGATGTGTTAGATGCCTGGCAAGTGTGTGCATTTGAGGTTTTGAATTTCTGATAGGTCTTGTTCTCTTCCTTTTTACTATAAATGGAATGCATGTACACTACATCTGCTGTACAGCAAGTTGTGAGAGTGGACTCATACAGCTGGTTACCTTTGTCTCATAATTCCCATTTTATGGGGACTTTGACGTTGCTGCTTTTGAGTGTGTGTTGAAAGGTTTTACTTGGTAATGTGTTGAATTATGAAGAGAGAATCGTTTGCACTTTTTCCTCTGATTTTTATCATTTTCAATGCAAACCAGTAGAGGAAAGAAAGCAATAGGAACATTCCACATCCTTTCGCCCCATTTCTTTGTGCTGTGTATTGAATTAATTAGCCTCTTGAGGTTTTATAAGCATTCTCTTAAGTTGTAAAAGATTAGTTTCTGTATCTCTACCTGCTATACAAAGTAAGTTGCACACAATTTTACTCCTGAGAGAGATGCTTGCTCTATATACACTAGAACAGTACTTTCCCAAAAAAAGATAGGAAGAAACCCCACTTGGATCTCAGTTCACAACAGAGATGTTGCTTCCATAAAATTCTAGTCTTTTTTTTTTTAAAACCCTCACATTCAGGTAACAAGAGGCAAGTGGTATTCTGATCAGCAAGACAGTTGTGGTGGCAGATCCCCTCAATATAATTCTCTATAACTGTTCAGACTTTGCCTATGGTATGTGTTCAGTGTCTCTCATAGTGGGGCTCTGAACTGGTTTGAGATGTTTGAGTATTACTAGTTTGAGCATTACTGTTTGTTACAAATTAAATAATAAAAGTGTATTGTAAGTATCCAAACAAGGTAAAATTTAAGATGCAAATCTGCAGGTGAATAGAAAGCTATTTTCTGTATAACCATATGTCCCATATTAAAGCTGTGTTGTGTATGCTTAATAAATGAAATTCAACATGAGAGGATGGTTAAGTGCTTAGTTGGACACATTTGGCCTGATTCTGCTACCCTTTGCACACATTGAGGAATCCACCTGAGAAAAGTCAGTGCTACGCTGTGGTAGTAAGCACTGCACAATCCACCTTGTTGTATGTAACAGCATCACAAGCTACCAAACCCATATGACACCTGCATTGCTTTGTCTTTTACAGCTGTGGTGTTGTCGGTCTTGCTCTCCTTTTTATACTCATTGCACCCTTTGATTTACCAAATACAGTCATAGAATAATAGAAAATGAGGGTTGGAAGGGACCTCAGGAGCTCAAAGGGACCCCCTGCTCAAAGCAGGACCATGTCCAACTAGATCATCCCAAAGGGGTGGGTAGGCAACAGGGGGATCAAACCCATGGCCTCAGCATTATTAGCAATCAGGTTTACTGTAGCTGAAACAGTTTCCTCTGACCCTCAGTAGCTTTGTTGCCTTACCTTCCTGGGGAGTTGGTACCCTTAAGGTACTGACTGACATACCAGGGAGGAGGCAAGGTCCATTGACCAGAGATAGAAAGGTTTTTATATACTTTAGGTTTAATGCTATAACACATATATGGCAAAGCGTTCTCTTGTTTAAACTTTTAGGCTGAGTCTGAAACAAACATTGTGAATTTTGATGTCTGGTTCCTATCAGTTTTAGTGGGAAATCAGCTTGGAAATTTCTTCAATATTTTAAATCTCAACTGTAAGTGTATTCCACATTGTCCCACATTAGTTTGCTTCATCTTTAGGCCTGGAGGTTAGATAACAGAGGAGCCTAAATTGCATTAGTTTCCTCCCATCTAACCTACAGAATGTCTTCCGTGTGAATTCATTGCTGGTGAGTTTTGTGCGGGCCGGGAGCGACCCGAGCCCTTTTCCGTGCTGCACGCGGGCTGTGGCCAGCAGCCCGGGCACGCCGGGTCGGAGAGGGAAGGCCGTCGAGCTGGAATTAGGCACAGACGCGTAGCGATAGTTTTAAAGATTACACCGAGATGGCAGTGGTGCAGGCTGGAAAGCTTGCTTGAGTTGCGGTTACAGACAGAAAAGAAAACAAAACTCGAACCTGCAGGGCACAGGGTACGTTGCAAAGGGTTCCGGCGACGGGAAAAATAAACCTGCAGGACTCGAACCCGGGTAGAAGAGCTCTGAGGCCGGTCGTAAGGGCTCACACGAAGTTTGCTAGGCTCCGTGGGTTCTTCTGCTCACTCATTCTCACGAAGTTTGCTAGGCTCCGTGGGTTCGGTTCTCTTGCGTGCGGGAAGGGATACGTCTGGACTGCGCTCGGCGACGGGGAGAGGCTAGAGGTTGATCAGACCTCTGTTGCCTGCTTTAAATGCACTGGGTCCGTAAGGATCCGCAGCGCTTAGAGATCTTCACACAGCGTGAAGTCTCCTCCCCCCTTGTTCGTGGAGTCCTCCAACTTGGGCAGAAACCACTCAAGCCTCTTATACGGCTA